TTTTCAGCCTCCTGAGGGGTACGAGGCATTGACATGCCCTCTTGGTGTGTTTGGACCATGATCTGTATTGGTGATGTGGACACTGAGGAACTTGAAGCTCTCAACCCGCTCCACTACAGCCCCATTGACGGGAATGGGTGGGTGCTCGGCCCTTCGTTTCCTGTAGTCCACGATCAGCTCCTTTTGTCTTCCCGTGCCAGGTCTCTGATGATTTCCTCCCTGTAGGCTGTCTCATCGTCGGTGATCAGGCCTACCACCGTCGTGTCGTCGGCAAACCTAATGATGCACGTACCCCTAAGGGGCCTATGTGTTGAGGGTCAGCATGGCGGATGTGTTGTTGCCTACCCTCACCATCTGGGGGCGTCCCGTCAGGAAGGCCAGAATCCAGTTGCAGAGGGAGGTGTTCAGTCCCAGGGTCCTTAGCTTGATGATCTTGGAGAGAACTATGGTGTTGAATGCTTAACTGTAGTCAATGAACAGCATTCTCACATAGGTGTTCCTTTTTTCCTAGTGGGAAAGGGCAGTGTGGAGTGCAATAGAGATTGCGTAATCTGTGGATCTGTTGGAGCGGTATGCGAGTGGGTCCAGGGTGTCTGGGATGATGGTGTTGATGTGAGCCAAGACCAGCCTTTCACAGTGTTTCATGGCTATAGAGTGCTACAGGGCGATTGTCATTTAGACAGGTTACTTTGGCATTCTTGGACACAGGGACTATGGTGGTCTGCTTGAAACATGTAGGTTTTACAGACTGTCATTTTCAACCTCTCCTTGACCCAGTGAAGACACTTGCCAGCTGGTCAGCGCATACTCTGAGTACACGTCCTGGTAATACGTCTGGCCCCGCGACCTTGTGAAAGTTAATACTTTTGAAGGTCTTACTCACATCGGCTACGGAGAGCGTGATCACACAGTTGTCCAGTACAGCTGGTGCTCTCACGTATGGTTCAGTGTTGCTTGCCTTGAAGCGAGCATAGAAGATGTGGCAGGGCTTGCGTCACTGGGCAGCTCGTGGCTGGGTTTCCCTTTTGTAATCTGTAATCGCTTGCAAGCCCTGCCAAATCCGACGAGCGTCAGAGCCGGTGTAGTAGGATTTGATCTTGGTCCTGTATTGATTCTTTGCCTGTTTGTTGGATCGTCGGAGGGCGTAGCGGGATTTCTTATAAGTGTCCGGGTTAGTGTCCCTCTCCTTAAAAGCGGCAGCTCTAGCCTTTAGCTCTGTGCGGATGTTGCCTGTAATCCATGGCTTCTGGTTGGCATATGTACGTATGGTCACTGTGGGGACGATGTCGTCGGTACACTTATTAATGAAGCCGGTGATTGATGTAGTAAACTCCTCAATGCCATCGGATAATTCCCCGGAACATATTCTAGTCTGTACTAGCAAAATAGTCCTGTGACTTTGTATCCGCTTCATCTGACCACTTCCATATTGAGCGCGTCACTGGTACTTCCTGTTTGAGTTTTTACTTGTAAGCAGGAATCAGGAGGATCGAGTTAGGGTCAGATTTGCCAAATGAAGGGTGAGGTAGAGCTTCGCCTCTAGTTGCACAGGTCACATGCTGGTAGAAATGAGGTAAAATGGATTTCAGTTTACCTGAATTAAAATCACAGGCCACTTGGAGCACCGCCTCTCAATGAGCATTTGCTTGCTTCGCTAATGGCCCTATACAGCTTGTTGAATTTGGTCTTAGTGCCAGCATCGAATTGTGGTGGCAAATAGACGGCTACAAAAAATATAGATAAACTCTTGTTAAATAGTATGGTCTGCAGCTTATCATGAGATTCTAACTAAGGCGAGCAGAACCTTGAGACTTCCTTAATATTAGACACACACCACCCCCCCTTAAGCTTACCCGACACTGTCGTTCTGTCCTGCCGATACATAGAAAAACCAGCTAGAATATTATCCATGTCCTTGTTCAGCCAAGTTTCCGAGAAACATAGGATATTCCCGTTTTTTATGTCCCGTTGATAAGATAGTCTCGAATGGAGCTCGTCCACTTTATTCTCCAGTGATTGTACATTTTCCAATAGAACAGAGGGTAAAGGCGGATTATTTACTCTCCGCCGTAGCTTCATTAGGGTACTCGCACTTCGGCCTCTATATCGCAGTCTCTTTCTCTTCTGAGTGTCTGGGATTAGGGCCTGGTCCGGGGTTGAGCAGTATGTCCTTTGCCGCGAAATCATTGAAGTAGAAATCTTCATTCAAATCGAGGCTAGTGATCACTGTTCTGATGTCCAGAAGCTCTTTTCAGTTGTAGGAAACAATGGCGGAAAAATTAGGTACAAAGAAAGTTATGGTCAACACAAAAAAACACAATCTGTTCAAAAGTTATTGGAGTTTTTAGGGTGACTAAATCAATGGAGGCCAGAGGAAAAAAGTGGTCAGCTAGGCTGGATGCTGTGCGAGAATTAAGGCTAGACGTTGAACTCGTCATCTTCCTTCTCTAATCCGGAGGACATAAAACAATATAGAGGTAAGATAGATATTGATTTTGAGGCATGACGTAGTATTTTAGTGTGCACTTTTCACATTAAGGCCAAATTCCTGTTATTTTTCGAAGATTTCTTACAAAAACAAGCTTATGATTCCAACCAATAGACTCCCGAAAAGACAGACTCCTGATGTTGTGTCCCAAAGCTAGGCTTAGTGCACGGTTTTGACTCTGCCTGGTGACCGACCTGCATATACTGTGCCCCTCCCCTCTCACTTTGTCCCTCGCTAGCTCCCTATGAAAGATGCAAGTGTTTGTGTTCTCGGAAGTACGCCAACTAATCGGTCTCCTCCGTTCCAAAAATACAGAATCTTAGGAGTCGATTCCTAGCGGAATCGACTCTTGATACTCAGAAATGGGAGTTGACACCGGGAGTCGACTTTCAAGGAATCAATTATTTTGGAATCGACTCTCCACCACTACGTCATCGTCGTCATTAACAGTTGGAAAAATGGCAGAGAAAGACAACGACAGCAGAGAAATCCTCTATGGCAACACTTTGAGAAGTTACATGAAAAGGAAATGCAAACTTTGTGAGGTGGAATTGATGTACAGTAACGGTAGTACAGGTGCAATGCGTAACCCAAACCGTTGCTGGCAGCAGCGCTGCTGCATTGTGAATTCACGTGAAATTGTAAGAATTGTTGTTATCGTTTTAACGGAACCCCCTCCCCCATTTTGTGGTTGTAGTCTTCAAAGTTGTTTCCGTGGTTTGCAACATTAGCATGACACGAACTGAATTAAATGTAAAAGGCTTTGAAAATAAAAAGCTTGGTATACGCTCAGTGCTCCGTTGACATCTCGCAGAGATATGCTTGTTTTTGTGAGAAGTCTTCAAAAACGAACAGGAATTTTGAATTAATATGAAAAGCGTATACTAAAATATGTAAATAGCCTACTACGTCATGTTTCAAAATCGATATCCATCTTACCTCTATTGTTTTATGTCCTGCGGATTGGAGAAAAAAGTTGACGAGTTCAACGGGAAAGTGAGCCTGTCAGGTCGGTAGTAGCCTTAATTCCTGCACAGAATTCAGCCAAGCTGACGCGATGCAATTTTTTTCTCTGGCCTCCTAGCAGTAAAATTTGATTGAAAAAAATAAAAATACACCTTATGGAACAGCGGGGACTGTGAAGCAACACACACATAGGCACAGACACATGCATACACACACACGTGGATTTTGTGTTGTAGTAGAGTAGGGGCCTGAGGGCACACACTTAATGTGTTGTGAAATCTGTTGTGAATGTATTGTAATGTTACTTGATGTGTTTAAAATTGTATAACTGCCTTAATTTTGCTGGACCCCAGGAAGAGTAGCTGCTGCCTTACAAATTGAGTCACCCTAATTCTGACCATCCTATAGTACAAGGGTAGAAACTCCAATACATTTGGAACGGATTATGATAGAGACATGAGGTTTGGACCATTGGTTTTCTTAGAGGATTATCAATACAATTAACATTATTTTACCCATTAGTCAAAATATGACGTTTTGATTGGACACCCTATACATTTTCATGGTCAAGACATATTGATTCAATTGTTTTAAAGATGGGGAGAGGTATGTCTGTGATAAAGAGATGCTCAACATTTTTAACACCACAGTCGACCAAACAAGTCCTGCAGGCTCTAGTTTTATCTAATCATAACTATTGCCCGGTTGTATGGTCAAGTGCTGCAAAAAAGGACCTAGAAAAACTGCAGCTGGCCCAGAAGAGAGCAGCACGTCTTGCCCTGCAAAGTACACAGAGGGCTAATATCAGCAATGCTTGTCAGTCTCTCTTGGCTCAAAGTAGAGGAGAGATTGACTGCATGCATCAATTCTTGTTTTTGTGAGAAATGTATGTGTTCAATTCCAAATAGTCTGTAATTAGCTTACATATAGCTCTGACAGACATACTTACCCCACCAGACATGCCACCAGGGGTCTCTTTACATTCCCCAGGTCCAGAATACATTCAAGAAAACGTACAATATTATATAGAGCCATGATTGCATGGAATGCCTTTCCATGTCATATAGCGCAAGTGAACAGCAAACCTGTTTTTAAAAAAAACAAATAAAGCAACACATCAAGGCACAATGCCTCTCCCCATGTGACCTAATTTTTGTGTGTATGTACAACTGATAGATGCGTGCACACACACATGATTATTCTTTAGTTGTATTGTTTTTTTAAATATTATTTTTTACATTTGTCTTTTAGTTCTAGTATTTTTTTTTCTATAAGTCTGTAATGTCTATTTTAATGTTTTAAATGTATGTAAATTGTCTTTTGTAATGTATTTTTCGTTATGTGTCGGACCCCAGAAAGACTAGTTGTCGCCATTGGCATTGGCTAATTGGGATCCTAAAAAATCAGAATAAAGAAACCCGTTTGTCTCTTAGCAGAAATGTTCAACAGTCAGCTAGCTAGCTGTCTGTCTATATATTTGGGTATTATGAAGTATGTTACATTTTGCCATCAGATATATTTACCATCTCTTTGATTTTCCCTCAGATCAAAAAATGATCTATCCACAGCGATTTTAAAGCAGAAGACCAGGCCCAACCGGTTGGTTGTGGATGAATCTCTCAATGAGGACAACAGTGTGGTTTCTCTGTCTCAGGTGAGGCATTGGTGGTGTGAATGAATGGGACAGGGACATTTTAGTGAACGCTCTGTCTGCACTGAGTACTACAGTCGTGGTCAAAAGTTTTGAGAATGACACAAATACTAATTTTCACAAAGTCTGCTGCCTCAGTTTTGATGATGGCAATTTGCATATATTCCAGAATGTCATTAAGAGTGATCAGATGAATTGCAATTAATTGCAAAGTCCCTCTTTGCCATGAAAATGAACTTTAATCCCAAAAAAACATTTCCACTGCATTTCAGCCCTGCCACAGAAGGACCAGCTGCCATGATGTCAGTGATTCTCTCGTTAACACAGGTGAGAGTGTTGACGACGACAAGGCTGGAGATCACTCTGTCATGCTGATTGAGTTAGAAGCTTTAAAAGGAGGGTGGTGCTTGAAATCATTGTTCTTCCTCTGTTAACAATGGTTACCTGCAAGGAAACACGGGCCGTCATCATTGCTTTGCACAAAAAGGGCTTCACAGGCAAGGATATTGCTGCTAGTAAGATTGCACCTAAATCAACCATTTATCGGATCATCAAGAACTTCAAGGAGAGAGGTTCAATTGTTGTGAAGAAGGCGTCAGGGCGCCCAAGAAAGTCCAGCAAGCGTCAGGACCGTCTCCTAAAGTTGATTCAGCTGCGGGATCGGGGCACCAACAGTGCAGAGCTTGCTCAGGAATGGCAGCAGGCAGGTGTGAGTGCATCTGCACGCACAGTGAGGCAAATACTTTTGGAGGATGGCCTGGTGTCAAGAAGGGCAGCAAAGAAGCCACTTCTCTCCAGGAAAAACATCAGGGACAGGCTGATAATCTGCAAAAGGTACAGGGATTGGACTGCTGAGGACTGGGGTAAAGTCATTTTCTCTGATGAATCCCCTTTCCGATTGTTTGGGGCATCTGGAAAACACCTTGTCCGGAGAAGACAAGGTGAGCACTACCATCAGTCCTGTGTCATGCCAACAGTAAAGCATCCTGAGCCCATTCATGTGTGGGGTTGCTTCTCAGCCAAAGGAGTGGGCTCACTCACAATTTTGCCTAAGAACACAGCCATGAATAAACATTTACATTTTAGTCATTTAGCAGATGCTCTTATCCAGAGCGACTTACAGTTAGTGAATACATATTTTTTTATACTGGCCCCCCGTGGGAAACGAACCCACAACCCTGGTGTTGCAAACGCCATGCTCTATCAACTGAGCTACATCCCTGCCGGCCATTCCCTCCCCTACCCTGGACGACGCTGGGCCAATTGTGCGCCGCCCATGAGTCTCCCGGTCACGGCCGGCTGCGACAGAGCCTGGATTCGAACCAGGATCTCTAGTGGCACAGTTAGCACTGCGATGCAGTGCCTTAGACCACTGCGCCACTCAGGAGACACAATAAAGAATGGTACCAACACATCCTCCGAGAGCAACTCCGAGAGCAACTTCTACCAACCATCCAAGAACTGATTGGTGACGAACAATGCCTTTTCCAGCATGATGGAGCACCTTGCCATAAGGCAAAAGTGATAACTAAGTGGCTCGGGGAACAAAACATCGACATTTTGGGTCCATGGCCAGGAAACTCCCCAGACCTTAATCCCAGTGAGAACTTGTGGTCGATCCTCAAGAGGCGGGTGGACAAACAAAAACCCACAAATTCTGACAAACTCCAAGCATTGATTATGCAAGAATGGGCTGCCATCAGTCAGGATGTGGCCCAGAAGTTAATTGACAGCATGCCAGGGCGGATTGCAGAGGTCTTGAAAAAGAAGGGTCAACACTGCAAATATTGACTCTTTGCATAAACTGAATGTAATTGTCAAGCCTTTGACACTTATGGAATGTTTGTAATTATACTTCAGTATACCATAGTAACATCTGACCAAAATATCTCATAACACTGAAGCAGCAAACTTTGTGAAGACCAATACTTGTCATTCTCAAAACTGTTGACCACGACTGTACAATATTATTTCAGCAGTAACTCACTCACTCGTTCCTGTTGCACAGGCTGTGATAGTTATGTTCCCTGTTGAAGGTTCTATACTAGATCAGTAGGATTCAGTGTCTGACTAATTCCTCTTTCCTGCCCCGCCCTAGGCAAAGATGGATGAGTTGCAACTGTTCAGGGGAGACACCGTGCTGATGAAAGGAAAGAAGAGGCGGGAGACGGTATGCATCGTGCTCTCTGACGACACCTGCTCCGACGAGTAGGTCCGCATGAACAGAGTGGTCCGCAACAACCTGAGAGTCCGCCTGGGAGATGTCATCAGGTGAGGTAGAACTGGAGAACTTTGGCATCAGTGCAGGATGATGTGGGGAACCAGACCACTGCTCCTTCACACTGTACAGTAAAGCCATGGCATAATTAGTTCCTTTTGTGATCACACAGTATTCAGCCATGCCCAGATGTGAAGTATGGGAAGCGGATCCACGTTCTGCCCATCGATGACACTGTGGAGGGGATCACAGGGAACCTGTTTGAGGTCTACCTCAAGCCCTACTTCCTGGAGGCCTACAGGCCCATCAGGAAAGGTAACAGTGATTCAGGGGATAACCTGGGGTGTGTTCAGTAGGCATCAAATGGGAGAAAATGTTTAAGGTACTTCCTCCACCTGAACTTGACCCTCTACTACAGATGTTGTTCTGGGTTATGATCATTAGGACACATAATTGAAAACATTTTGCAACGGAAATCTAAAGTGTTTCTTATTGGACAAGTCCAGGTAGTCCCTCCCCGTTTCGGTCTGTTTTCATCCTTTTGGTGCGTAACGAACATGATCCTGTGTCTTTGCCAGCTGACTACACCTATGAAAAAAACAAAAGGTTAAGTCAGGGTCTTGGGGACCTGGTTTATTGTGAAGTCTCTGTTGTTTTGTAGCGGACATTTTCTTGGTGAGGGGAGGCATGCGTGCAGTGGAGTTCAAGGTAGTGGAGACGGATCCCAACCCCTACTGCATCGTGGCCCCAGACACTGTCATCCACTGTGAGGGCGAGCCCATCAAACGAGAGGTAGGACTACATCCAGGACTGCTCTGTCTACGGCTTCAGTTGGATCTTGTGCATGAGAGCAGGTTCACTTTAAAGCTGTAGTTTTCAGACATGGGATTTCTGTTGATAATTTGGGAATTCCAGATTTTCTGATCATAGTAAACTATTTATTACATTTGTATGCTATCTGTAGCCTTTCCCTCTGCTTTTCTGTGCTTTACCAACCACATCTCTCTCTGTGTTCAGGATGAGGAGGAGTCTTTGAATGAGGTTGGCTATGATGACATTGGGGGTGTGAGGAAGCAGCTGGCCCAGATTAAGGAGATGGTGGAGCTGCCCCTGAGACACCCAGCACTGTTCAAGGCCATCGGTGTCAAGGTGAACTAAATACACCACCTCTCTCATTAGGCTTGGGCGGTATACCGTGTATACCGGGATATTTGTAAATAGCCACGGGATGGTTTTTCAATACTGTTGAAACGATTTCTTTGAAGTTTTTCAATAAATTGTCATATTTGTTGCTATTTTTTTAGTAAATACCTGCAGTCAACTTGTGCAATACGTTAGGGGATCAGGCAGATCGTGTTCTTCATTTCACCTGTCACATTATTTTACATAATTAATGTTACCATAGTTCTCCAGAACAGTTGAGCCAGTCGCGTGTTTGTAAATAGCACAGCGGGAGAAAGCGGGAGCAGGTGAGTCCAGCTGTGTATTGACAGGGGTCGCGTTTTATATTACATTTACAATTTTGCGCCGCCCATGAGTCTCCCGGTCGCGGCCGGCTGCGACAGAGCCTGGATTTGAACCAGGTTCTCTAGTGGCACAGTTAGCACTGCGATGCAGTGCCTTAGACCACTGCGCCACTCAGGAGTATATTGAAAGTAGTGTTTTTTTGTTGTTGCTTTAATAGTGTTCAGGGATGTGCAACTATAGTTCACAGGAAATACATTAGTGCAACACATTCGGCAGAAAATTGCTTCAACAGAAGTGCAACACTATTTGGCTGGCAGCCACACATGTACAGTGGCTTGTGAAAGTATTCACCTCCCTTGGCATTTTTCCTGGAATTCAAATTGATTTTGGGGGGGTTTGTATCATTTGATTTACACAACATGCCTACCACTTTGAAGATGCAAAATATTTTTTATTGTAAAACAAACAAGAAATAAGACAAAAAAACAGAACTTTAGCGTGCATAACTATTCACCCCCCCCCAAAGTCAATACTTTGTAGAGCCACCTTTTGCAGCAATTACAGCTGCAAGTCGCTTGGGGTATGTCTCTATAAGCTTGGCACATCTAGCCACTGAGATTTTTGCCCATTCTTCAAGGCAAAACTGCTCCAGCTCCTTCAAGTTGGATGGATTCCGCTGTTGTACAGCAATCTTTAAGTCATACCACAGATTCTCAATTGGATTGAGGTCTGGGCTTTGACAAGGCCATTCCAAGACATTTCAATGTTTCCCCTTAAACCACTCGAGTGTTGCTTTAGCAGTATGCTTAGGGTCATTGTCCTGCTGGAAGGTGAACCTCCATCCCAGTCTCAAATCTCTGGAAGACCGAAACAGGTTTCCCTCAAGAATTTCCCTGTATTTAGCGCCATCCATCATTCCTTCAATTCTGACCAGTTTCCCAGTACCTGCCGATGGAAAACATCCCCACAGCATGATGCTGCCACCACCATGCTTCTAAGTGGTCCTATGGACAGATACTCCAATCTCCGCTGTGGAGCTTTGCAGCTCCTTCAGGGTTATTACATTTTACATTTTAGTCATTTAGCAGACGCTCTTATCCAGAGCGACTTACAGTTAGTGAGTGCATACATTTTATTTTTATTTTTAAACTGGCCCCCCCGTGGGAATCGAACCCACAACCCTGGCGTTGCAAGCGCCATGCTCTACCAACTGAGCTACACTCTTTGGTCTCTATGGTGCCACTTGCTTGGTGGTGCCCCTTGCTTAGTGGTGTTGCAGACTCTGGGCCTTTCAAAACAGGTGTATGTATATACAGTGGGGGAAAAAAGTATTTAGTCAGCCACCAATTGTGCAAGTTCTCCTACTTAAAAAGATGAGAGAGGCCTGTAATTTTCATCATAGGTACACGTCAACTATGACAGACAAATTGAGAAAAAAAATTCCAGAAAATCACATTGTAGGATTTTTAATGAATTTATTTGCAAATTATGGTGGAAAATAAGTATTTGGTCACCTACAAACAAGCAAGATTTCTGGCTCTCACAGACCTGTAACTTCTTCTTTAAGAGGCTCCTCTGTCCTCCACTCGTTACCTGTATTAATGGTACCTGTTTGAACTTGTTATCAGTATAAAAGACACCTGTCCACAACCTCAAACAGTCACACTCCAAACTCCACTATGGCCAAGACCAAAGAGCTGTCAAAGGACACCAGAAACAAAATTGTAGACCTGCACCAGGCTGGGAAGACTGAATCTGCAATAGGTAAGCAGCTTGGTTTGAAGAAATCAACTGTGGGAGCAATTATTAGGAAATGGAAGACATACAAGACCACTGATAATCTCCCTCGATCTGGGGCTCCACGCAAGATCTCACCCCGTGGGGTCAAAATGATCACAAGAACGGTGAGCAAAAATCCCAGAACCACACGGGGGGACCTAGTGAATGACCTGCAGAGAGCTGGGACCAAAGTAACAAAGACTACCATCAGTAACACACTATGCCGCCAGGGACTCAAATCCTGCAGTGCCAGACGTGTCCCCCTGCTTAAGCCAGTACATGTCCAGGCCCATCTGAAGTTTGCTAGAGTGCATTTGGGTGATCCATAAGAGGATTGGGAGAATGTCATATGGTCAGATGAAACCAAAATAGAACTTTTTGGTAAAAACTCAACTCGTCGTGTTTGGAGGACAAAGAATGCTGAGTTGCATCCAAAGAACACCATACCTACTGTGAAGCATGGGGGTGGAAACATCATGCTTTGGGGCTGTTTTTCTGCAAAGGGACCAGGACGACTGATCCGTGTAAAGGAAAGAATGAATGGGGCCATGTATCGTGAGATTTTGAGTGAAAACCTCCTTCCATCAGCAAGGGCATTGAAGATGAAACGTGGCTGGGTCTTTCAGCATGACAATGATCCCAATCACACCGCCTGGGCAACGAAGGAGTGGCTTCGTAAGAAGCATTTCAAGGTCCTGGAGTGGCCTAGCCAGTCTCCAGATCTCAACCCCATAGAAAATCTTTGAATGGAGTTGAAAGTCCGTGTTGCCCAGCGACAGCCCCAAAACATCACTGCTCTAGAGGAGATCTGCATGGAGGAATTGGCCAAAATACCAGCAACAGTGTGTGAAAACCTTGTGAAGACTTACAGAAAACGTTTGACCTATGTCATTGCCAACAAAGGGTATATAACAAAGTATTGAGAAACTTTTGTTATTGACCAAATACTTATTTTCCACCATAATTTGCAAATCAATTCATTAAAAATCCTAAAATGTGATTTTCTGGATTTATTTTTCTCATTTTGTCTGTCATAGTTGACGTGTACCTATGATGAAAATTACAGGCCTCTCTCATCTTTTTAGGTGGGAGAACTTGCACAATTGGTGGCTGACTAAATACTTTTTCCCCCCACTGTATACTGTGATCATGTGACACTTAGATTGCACACAGGTGGACTTTATTTAACTGCTTATGTGACTTCTGAAGGTAATTGGTTGCACCAGATCTTATTTAGGGGCTTCATAGCAAAGGGGTGAATACATATGCATACACCACTTTTCCGTTATTTATTTTGTAGAATTTTTTGAAACAAGTTATTTTTTCATTTCACTTCACCAATTTGGACTATTTTGTGTATGTCCATTACATGAAATTCAAATAAAAATCAATTTAAATTACAGGTTGTAATGCAACCAAATAGGAAAAATGCCAAGGGGGATGAATACTTTTGCAAGGCACTGCATTCGGTAAGTATTCAGACCCTTTCACTTTTTCCACATTTTGTTACTTTACAGCGTTATTCTAAAATTGAGATATTATTTTTATATATTTTTATCAATTCACACACCATAATGACAAAGCAAAAACAGGTTTTTAGAAATGTTTGCAAATGTATTTAAAATTAAAAACTGATATCACATTTACATAAGTATTCAGACCCTTTACTCAGTACTTTGTTGAAGCACCTTTGGCAGCGATTACAGCCTTGAGTCTTCTTGGGTATGACGCTACAAGCTTGGCACACCTGTATTTGGGGAGTTTCTCCCATTCTTCTCTGCAGATCCTCTCAAGCTCTCTCAGGTTGGATGGGGAGCGTCGCTGCACAGCTATTTTCAGGTCTCTCCAGAGATGTTTGATCGGGTTCAAGTCCGGGCTCTGGCTGGGCCACTCAAGGACATTCAGAGACTTGTCCCGAAGCCACTCCTGCGTTGTCTTGGCTGTGTGCTTAGTGTCGTTGTCCTGTTGGAAGGTGAACCTTCGCCCCAGTCTGAGTTCCTGAGCGCTGTGGAGAAGGTTTTCATCAAGGATCTCTCTGTACTTTACTCTGTTAATCTTTTCCTCGATCCTGACTAGTCTCCCAGTCCCTGCCGCTGAAAAACATCTCCACAGCATGATGCTGCCACCACCATGCTTCACCGTAGGGATGGTATTGGCCAGGTGATGAGCGGTGCCTGGTTTCCTCTAAACGTGATGCTTGGCATTCAGGCCAAAGAGTTCAATCTTGGTTTCATCAGACCAGAGAATCTTGTTTCTCATGGTCTGAGAGTCTTTAGGTGCCTTTTGGCAAACTCCAAGCGGGCTGTCATGTGCCTTTTACTGAGGAGTGGCTTCCGTCTGGCCACTCTACCATAAAGGCCTGATTAGTGGAGTGCTGCAGAGATGGTTGTCCTTCTGGAAGGTTCTCCCATCTCCACAGAGGAACTCTGGAGCTCTGTCAGAGTGACAATTGGGTTCTTGGTCACCTCCATGACCAAGGCCCTTCTCCCCTGATTGCTCAGTTTGGCTGGGCGGCCAGCTCTTGGAAGAGTCTTGGTGGTTCCAAACTTCTTCCATTTAAGAATGATGGAGGCCACTGTGTTCTTGGGGACCTTCAATGCTGCAGAATTTGTTTTGTACCTTCCCCAGATCTGTGCCTCTACACAATCCTGTCTCATGGCTTTGTTTTTGCTCTGACATGCACTGTCAACTGTGGGACCTTTTATATTGAAAGGTGTGTGCCTTTTACAAATCATGTCCAATCAATTGAATTTACCACAGGTGGACACTAATGAAGTTGTAGAAACTTCTCAAGGATGATCAATGGAAACCGGATGCACCTGAGCTCAATTTTGAGTCTAAAAACGTTATGTAAAAACGTGTTTTTGTTTTTTTAAATAAATGTTCAAACATTCCTAAACCTGTTTTGGCTTTGTCATTATGGTGTATTGTGTGTAGATTGATGAGGGCAACAAATAATTTAATCAATTTTCGAATAAGGCTGTATCAAAATGTGGAAAAACTCAAGGGGTCTGAATACTTTCCGAATGCACTGTAAATTGTATTTTTTGCAAAGAACAATCCATGGCCATCATATTTCTAATGTTTATCATAGAAAGAATGTAGCCAGCTACATTTCCTTATGTTTTGCTTTAAGTCTATCTTGCATTTTGCTGGAGAAAAAGTAGGCTGGCTACACCGAGAAAAGTACCGGAGAAAAGAGCTCTGTCTGCTGATGCATGGTAGAATGTCCGTTCGTGAATTCTCATCCGAGTGAAGAAGTGCAACTGAGGCGCAAAATGTGTTTAATGCCGATCAGAAATAACAATAAGAAGCATTTTACACTGAACAAAAATATAAATGCAACATGCAACAATTTCTAAGATTTTGATGAGTTACAGTTCATATAAGGAAATCAGTCAATTGGACTAAATTCCTTAGGCCCTAATCTATGGATTTCACATGACTGGGCAGGGGCACAGCCATGGGTGGGCCTGGGAGGGCATAGGCACACCCACTTTGGAGCCAGGTCCACCCACTGGGGAGCCAGGCCCAGCCAATCAGAATGGGTTTCCCCCCCCCCACAAAATAGCTTTATTACAGACAGAAATACTCCTCAGCTGGCTAATTTTATAAGGTGACGGGGCATCATATTGTGTTAGTTTTCTGCCGTGTTAGAGGAGTCAAAGCCCTTAGGATGAGTTATCTGTACAGCTGCCACTGCAGCTTGATTTCCTTGCATTTATTTTCTCCGTTCTCGGCCCGTCTGATCCTCCCCATCTCCGAAAAGAGCAGACAGGCCCGTTGCCCTGCGACTCCAGACTCCACACAGACAAAGCGTGTACACAGTACTGTTCTTCCTTCAGACAAGCATGCGTCAAAACTTTGTTCATTTGCACAATGTCTCGTGTTCACATTCGCTTGTAAATGTCCAAACCAAAAATGTAATTTGGTATCTCCTCCCTATATATGTATAACTTTAGGAGCTGGATTGCCTGTCTTTGCAATTTGTTTATTTTTGTTTGCACTCGTTAACATATTTAGCTAGCCTGCATGGAAATTCGCTATTACTTGTGGTAATTTTGTTAGCATTCTGGTAATCGAGGCAAAATGTTGTTTTTTTGCGTTGTTTTGCACCCCCTTGTGTACTAAGCCGGTAATACCGTAAATCCCGGAATGCGAGAAGGACGGTATGACGATATGAAAATCTTGATACCGCCCAACCCTATCTCTCATCATTCACCTCAAACCTCATGGACAAGATTATATAAAAGATAAATAAGTAAATTGTTTGTTTTGTTTTTTATTATATTGTTTTACATGAAAATGCAACTAATTAAAAGGTAATTCAATTTTTAATCCCAGCCTCCAAGGGGTATCCTGCTGTACGGACCCCCTGGAACAGGAAAGACATTGATCGCACGTGCCGTGGCCAACGAGACTGGAGCCTTCTTTTTCCTTATCAATGGTGAGACTGAGCGACAAAAGCGTTGTTATTTTTCATTTAGCGTTTCATTAAGTTCCATTTCAATTCAGTTAATGCATTAAGTGAATAGAAATTCCATTCAAGAGCAAAAATGTTTTTAGTTGGAATTTCAATGTAACTGACTGAATTGGAATTGATTGACCCAAACTTTGTTCAGTAACGGTCAAAATAACACCATCAGTGTGCTTGTAAGGAAATAGTTACCTAATAGTTGAACTTGTGCCTGCTAAATGTTTCAGGGCCTGAGATCATGAGTAAACTGGCCGGAGAGTCTGAGAGTAACCTGAGGAAGGCCTTCGAGGAAGCTGAGAAGAATGCCCCCGCCATCATCTTCATTGACGAGCTGGACGCCATTGCACCAAAAAGAGAAAAGGTGGGCTCATGTCTTCTGATACAGTTTCCTTCCCATCCACTATATTAGTGTTCTTCCTTTGTAATCCGTAGTCATGTTCATTAGGGAGAAATTTTTTGAATCTGAGTGAGTGGAACAGAAAGGTACTACCTGAACTTGTCCAAAATGTTTGAACGTTGTGCCATACTGAACACGACCCTGGAGGCCCACAGGGTGTGCAGGCTTTTTGTGTAGCCCAGCACAAACCTACTTCTTTAGTTGAATCAGGTGTGGTAGCACAGGGCTGAAACAGAAGCCTGCACGCCCAGGATTCTCGCGGACCAGGATTCAATGGCACTGCAGTAAATTCACTATAAGATCAAATCCCTATACCACCTACTATAGACTTGACCCTTAAGGCCTTTTCTCACCAACTGCATTGCGATCTTTTTGTCAGAATTCCGAAAAAATACAGATTCCGATTTTGACGCACTAAACCGTTCACACCAATTCAGGAAAGGAGCTTGGCTATGTTTCATTCAGTTGCACCCCATTTGCACTTGTCGTCATTCCTTGCACAAATGTTGACCATCATGACGCTTGCTGCCTACAGTTTTCTTTCTATCTGATTAAAGAGATAAAGTGCAGACAGGCTAGGCCTAAAGTGCCTTCAGAAAGTATTCACACCCCTTGACTTTTACAGCCTGAATTTAAAATGGATTCAATTTTGATTTTGTGTCACTGGCCTATGCACAATACCCCATAATGTCAGTGGAATTATGTTTTTAGAAATATTTTCAAATTAATAAAAAATGAAAGACTGTAATGTCTTGTCAATAAATATTTAACCCCTTTGTTATGGCAAGTCTAAAAACACTATATATACAATAGTATGTGGACACCCCTTCAAATTTGTGGATTCGGCAATTTCAGCCACACCCGTTGCTGACAGGTGTATAAAATCGAGCACACAGCCATGCAATCTCCCTAGACAAACATTGGTAGTAGAATGGCCAACTCTGAAGAGCTCTGACTTTCAACTGAGCCACACACACAAGCCTAAGATCACCATGCGCAATGCCAAGCGTCGGCTGGAGTGGTGTAAACTCGCGGCCATTGGACTCTGGAGCAGTGGAAACGCGTTCTCTGGAGTGATGAATCACGCTTCACCATCTGGCAGTCCGACAGTGTCACGATCGTCAAGCATAGAGGTGGACCAAGGCGCAGCGTGTGCAAAATACATCTCTTTATTATGGAAGAGAGAAAAACACGAAACCGAACACTATCCAAAACTTACAAAACAATAAACGACCGTGAAGCTAAATAACGTAAGTGCACAGACAAGCAACAAACGTTCAACTTAGACAATTACCCACAAACACATGATGCCCATGGCTGCCTTAAATATGGCTCCCAATTAGAGACAATAAACCACAGCTGTCTCCAATTGAGAACCAATCTAGGCAGCCATCAACATACAAACACCTAGACAAGACAGTACCCCATAAACCTACAAACCCCTAGACAAACCAAAACACATACTTCACCATGTCACACCCTGACCTAACTAAAATATTAGTGAAAACAAAGATAACTAAGGCCAGGGTGTGACAGCTGTGTTTGCCGCAACACAATACAATTACCAGTAGGCCTACTATGCTACTTACACTAAAACCATGAAAAGGAAAACCAAAGAGGGCAAGATGCAAAACTCAATTTAATGCCGCAATATAATAACCTGTTCATATTTTCTCTTTAAACAATGAATTCACTTACTTTTTATAATACCCTAATAAAGTCAAACAACCTTTGTGATGGTTTTATTTGTTGTATGGCTATTATTTGGCGTAGCTACTGCAGGCCTATGAAGGCAGTGCGCACCGGCACCCCAACTGACTATGACAGTTGAACTTGAGGTGAGGAAGAGTGTTTTAGGCCAGAGTTGCTCCTTTAAATGTAACAATATAATGCTCATCTTTATGAAAAATATTCTGATCGAAAATGTATGAACTAGCCTCCTGTATGCCTATATCTGTAACCTCTATGACAAGTATAAAGAAATCCATGTCAATGTCGGGAACATGGCGCCCGGCATATCTCTATCTTTCTCTCGGGTTATTCTTAAATATGAATATCATACAAGGGCCTATACGCATGCAATGCCCTGATGTATTTAGCACTCAAATCTCCAACAGCTGAACCGTGAGGTAGACTATTGTTGTTTTAGTAAAGTAAAAACCATTTTGAATATGCTTCACCATGCTCAAAGGGATACTTAATGTCTGCTTTTTTTTACCAATAGCTGCCCTTCTTTATCAAGGCATTGGAAAACCTCCCTGGTCTTTGTGGTTGAAATTCACTGCTCGACTGAGGGACCTTGCAGATAATTCTATGTGTGGGGTACAGAGATGAGGTAGTCATTCAAAAATCATGTTAAACACTATTATTGCACACAGAGTGACTCCATGCAACTTATTATGTGACTTGTTAAGCTAATTTTTACTCCTGAACTTACACTACATGACCAAAAGTATGTGGACACCTGCTCGTCGAACATCTCATTCCAAAATCATGGGCATTAATATGGAGTTGGTCCCCCCTTCGCTGCTATAAATAGCCTCCACTCTTCTGGGAAGGCTTTCCACTAGATGTTGGAACATTGCTATTGGGACTTGATTCCATTCAGCCACAAGAGCATTAGTGAGGTCGGGTACTGATGTTGGGCGATTAGGCCTGGCTCGCAGTCGGCGTTCCAATTCATCCCAAAGGTGTTTGATGGGGTTGAGGTCAGGGCTCTGTGCAGGCCAGTCAAGTTCTTCCACACCGATCTCGACAAACCATTTCTGTATGGACCGCGCTTTGTGCATTGTCATGCTGAAACAGGAAAGGGCCTTCCCCAAACTGTTGCCACAAAGTTGGAAGCACAAAATCGTCTAGAATGTCATTGTATGCTGTAGCGTTAAGATTTCCCTTCACTGTAACTAAGGGGCCTAGCCCGAACCATGAAAAACAGCCCCAGACCATTATTCCTCCACCAAACTTTACAGTTGTCACTATGCATTGGGGCAGGTAGCGTTCTCCTGACATCCGCCAAAGCCAGATTCGTCTGTCTGTCACGATCGTCTAGGAGTGAAGGAGACCAAAGCGCAGCGCGTTGAACGAACATGACTTTAATTAGAGTAAAGCACGTAAAATACAAAACAAAAGACGACTCGTGAAGTCCACAGTACAACGACTGAAACACGGAACAATAACCCACAATGCCCACAAGAACACCTACAGAATAAATATGGCTCCCAATCAGAGATAACGAGCCGACAGCTGACACTCGTTACCTCCGATTGGGAGTCATATGACTAATCAACATAATTACAACACTTTGACACCCAACATAGAACCAAACCACATAGACTGCACACACCCTGGCTCAACATAATGAGTCCCAGAACCAGGGTGTGACAGTACCCCCCCCTAAAGGCGCGGACTGCGACCGCGCCTCAAAACCCCCAAACAGGGGAGGGCTGGGCGGGCATACCTCCTCGGTGGCGGTTCTGGCTCCGGCCTAGACCACCACCCCACCATAGTCACTACCCGCTTACGTAGGTTCCTCCAAATGACCCCCACCGGTTTAAGGGGCAGCACCGGACTAAGAGGCAGCACCGGCCTAAGGGGCAGCACCAGGATAAGGGGCAGCACCTGACTCAATGGCGGATCCTGGCTGGCTGGCTCTGGCGGATCCTGGCTGGACGGCTCTGGCGGATCCTGGCTGAACGGCTCATGGCTGGCTGAAGGATCTGGCTGCTCATGGCTGGCTGACGGATCTGGCTGCTCATGGCTGGCTGACGGATCTGGCTGCTCATGGCTGGCTGACGGATCTGGCTGCTCATGGCTGGCCGACGGATCTGGCTGATCCGGTCTGGCCGAAGGCTCTGGCTGATCCTGTCTGGCGGAAGGCTCTGGCTGATCCGGTCTGGCGGAAGGCTCTGGCTGATCCGGTCTGGCGGAAGGCTCTGGCTGATCCTGTCTGGCCGAAGGCTCTGGCTGATCCTGTCTGGCCGAAGGCTCTGGCTGATCCTGTCTGGCCGAAGGCTCTGGCTGATCCTGTCTGGCGGAAGGCTCTGGCTGATCCGGTCTGGCGGAAGGCTTTGGCTGATCCGGTCTGGCGGAAGGCTCTGGCTGATCCGGTCTGGCGGAAGGCTCTGGCTGATCCTGTCTGGCCGAAGGCTCTGGCTGATCCTGTCTGGCGGAAGGCTCTGGCTGATCCTGTCTGGCGGAAGGCTCTGGCTGATCCGGTCTGGCGGACGGCTCTGAAGGCTCATGGCAGACGGGCGGCTTTGCAGGCTCAGTACAGACGGGCAGTTCAGACGGCGTTGGGCAGACGGACAGTTCAGACGGCGTTGGGCAGACGGGCAGTTCAGGCGCCGTTGGGCAGACGGGCAGTACAGACGGCGTTGGGCAGACGGACAGTTCAGGCGCCGTTGGGCAGACGGGCAGTTCAGGCGCCGTTGGGCAGACGGGCAGTTCAGACGGCGTTGGGCAGACGGACAGTTCAGGCGCCGTTGGGCAGACGGGCAGTTCAGACGGCGTTGGGCAGACGGACAGTTCAGGCCCCGTTGGGCAGACGGCAGACTCTGGCCGTCTGAGACGCACCGTAGGCCTGATGCGTGGTGCCGGAACTGGAGGTACCGGGCTGAGGACACGCATCTCAGGGCTAGTGCGGGAAGCAGCAACAGGGCATGCTTGGCCCTGGGGACGCACATAAGGCCTAGTGCGGAGAGCAGCAACAGGGCATGCTGGACCCTGGGGACGCACATAAGGCCTAGTGCGGAGAGCAGGAACAGGCCGGGCTGGGCTGGCGACGCGCACCGTATCCCTGGTGCGTGGAGTAGGAACAGGCCGGGCTGGGCTGGCGACGCGCACCGTAGGCTTCGTATGAGGCTCAGGAACAGGCCGGGCTGGGCTGGCGACGCGCACCGTACACTTAGTGCGAGGGGCCGGAACAGGCCGTACCGTACTGGGGACACACACTACTGGCTGTACCTCGGGATTAGGAACGGGCCGGACCGGACTGGTTACACACCCCAGTACCT